CATGTAATATACAGTCAGGTCCATAAATATCGTCAATGAGTTCTGAAGCATTTGGCTGAATATGAGCAGATAATATTGCCTGAAACACTTCAGAATTCAGCTGCTTTTGTCAGCAGTCACATCATCAATAAATACAAGGGAACCAGTTCGATTGGCAGCCATACATGCCCATGCCCATGACACCACCACCACCATGCTTCACTGATGAGGTGGTATGTTCTGGATCATGAGCAGTTCCTTCCCTTCTCCATACTCTTCTCTTCCCATCACTCTGGTATAAGTTGATCTTTGTCTCATCCGTCCATAGGATGTTGTTCCAGAACTGTAAAGGCTTTTTAGATGTTGTTTGGCAAACTCTAATCTGGCCTTCCTATTTTTGAGGCTCACCAATGGTTTACATCTCGTGGTGAACCCTGTGTATTCACTCTGGTAAAGTCTCCTCTTGATTGTTGACTTTGACACACATACACCTAGATCAAGAGTGTTCTTGATCTGGCCAACTGTTCTGAAGGTTTTTCTTCACCAGGAAAGAATTCTTCGGTCATCCACCACAGTTGTTTTCCATGGTCTCCTGGGTCTTTTGGTGTTGCTGAGCTCACCGGTGCGTTCCTTCTTTTTAAGAATGTTCCAAACAGTTGATTTGGCCATACCTAATGTTTTTTCTCTCTCTCTGATGGGTTTGTTTATATTTTTCAGCCTAATGATGGCTTGGATCTCGTATTGAGAGTTGAAAGCAACAGATTCCAAATGCAAATAGCACAGTTGAAATGAACTCTAGACCTTTTATCTGCTCCTTGTAAATAAGATAATGAGGGAATAACACACAGCTGGCCATGGAACAGCTGAGCAGCTAATTTGTCCCATTACTTTTGGTCCCTTAATAAGTGGGGGGCACATATACAAACTGTTGTAATTCCTACACCGTTCACCTGATTTGTATGTAAATACCCTCAAATTTAAGCTGAAGGTCTGCAGTTAAAGCACATCTTGTTCGTTTCATTTCAAATCCATTGTGGTGGTGTATAGAGCCAAAAAGATTAGAATTGTGTTGATGTCCCAATATTTATGGACCTGACTGTATATGCATGTGCAAGTGAAGTATGCAATTTTGGCCATATCGGCTTCTCATTCTCGGTGACGTCCTGCATGCACATGTCTTACCCCTCCTGAGACAGCCCTCTGGTACAGTCTTTCAACAAGACAACGCCCATCCACACACAGCATGTGTGTCTATGGACTGTCTGCGTCATGCTGAGGTCCTCCTGTGGCCAGCCAGGTCCCCCAGTCTTTCCCCAATCGAACATGTGTGGGATCAGCTGACGTCAACTCAGACCCAGTGCCAATCTGCAGGATCTCGAGGGCCAGTTACAACAGCTATGGGTCGACTTGCTGCAGGAGATACAGCCGCTGTATGACTCCCTTCCGCACCGTATCGCCTCATGGATCCAGGTCTGGGGGAGTGCCACACCCTACTGACATGGGACCAGCAGTGTGTCCATACTGCCAACTCTGTTATCTGTTTGATCTGATATTTTAATCATTGCGATACAGTCACATGACCTTTCGCCTCATGCAGATTCATTTCAGTTTCACTGCTCCATCTGGGTGCTTAATTTTTTGTCACTGAGTGTCTATCTGTGGCTTTCTTTCCAAGGTCCAGAGGTTGACTGGTGTTTAAGTGTTCTTTGTATGTAATCCACTCTCTACTAGACACTAGAGCTTAGATTTCTGTGCACAATGCTTCTTATTTTGGTGCATGGTATACCTTAGAAAGCCCCATTGAATATAGACAGAATATTCTAATCTACTGCATGTTATTACTGTTGAAGAAACTCTCAAAATGTAGAAGAGGAGAACAAGTTTTTGAGCACCCCTTACACAGCGTTACACCAGTGACATACTGGCCTGGCAGTATGTGTCACATGTTCCAGAGTGACATAACTAATGACATAAGCAGCAAAGCCACATGTGTAATAGCTGAAATCTGCCTGGGGCCTCGTCCTGTCATTTCTCTGACTTCATCACAATGTCCCTTATACTCTCCTCCATAAATCCAAAACAAAGCAATACATTTGTTGAGAAATATCTCTGTTGGGGGAAAAATATGGCACTCCAAGTTTTCAGAGACGAGGAACTTTGGCAATTAAAGAGAGAATTTTAAAAACCCTTAAATCAGGAGGCAAGTAGCAGTGATACAGATCAGCTATCAGACTGAAACCATACAATGAAAACAGCGATAACTAAAGCAGTAAACAGCACCTAGAACAGACAGGGGTGAGATGCATGTATAAAATGACACTACAGCCCACGGCGCGTCCTGCTCATGGCGGCTGGTCAAAGCTAAAACCAGGTCTGTGAAGGAAGTATTACACAGCATGAGCCAGATTTATGGGATAACAAACATCACTCCAACAGTGGTTTTGTTTAGTCAAAATAAGGATTTATTTTTGTGAAGACCTCATTAATATTTATAATCTGTCTATCTCCTTAGATGGAAGCCAGAAACTGTTTAGACTAAGAGTAAAGACGCAACATTAGTGTTTTGCGCAAGATCCACAAGGTTGCACAGTGGAAAAGGCCTACAGAAGTTATTCAGTCCTGCTCCATACAGCCCTCTAGTGTCACTTCAGCAGAATTACACAGAGCCACACAGAATGGCACAGAATGGCTGCACGTTTAATATCTATGCCGTAAATTTAGTAAACGTGCTGCTTTGTTAGAAGCATTTACCCGTGCTGTAAATCTGTATAACTGAATATGTTCATATCAGAAATGCACGTTTTTAACAAAAGCAAAAAGCCAGTGACTGCAATTACGAATTTCTATCACTGATCCTCAGTACTGGCATCTGCCTGAAATGCAGGGTTTCAGAGGAGAACGTTCACTGAACAGGCCAATTAATATAACAAAAATTATATACATGCCAAGATAATATATATAAAAAAATGTCTCTAAATACGTTCCATTTTATAAGGAAAAAGCATATTTCTACACAAAAACCTAGACATTTAAAACACAGCCTCAGACTATTCATCTCTACTACAGCAGTAATATAAAAAAATGCATCTTAAGTATATTTCCTGCATGCAATCATCTGAATTATACATTTCCAGCACAGGTAACAGCACTTTCCAATTGCCCCAGTTCACTTCCTAGTTCAGACACATTGTCCACTGCATTACTACTGCTGGTAGTCTCACTTTTAAACAGATGTTTCCTTACGTTCCACAACAACATTCTCACAGAGGTTAGTCGGTCCTGTGCTCGAGAATCACCACAAAACAGCACTACAAGCATTAAAATCCCGGCTCAGGGTCACACTCACAAATTCACAGGGATTACAAAGGATCATGACATACTGGTTAAATGCACAGAACAGCTCTTAAATTGGGGGGGGGCGGCGCATGAAGGGACCTCTAACCACAAGCATGGGTGTAATTCTCCCAAAACTACAGTTAAGTGCCTGATCATCAAATCTAAATACATTAAAAATGTTATGATTAATGTCACCTTTAGAAAAATGCCTATAACAATTTGAGAAGCAGAATACACTTTAGCCAGAAGTTTCTGGAAAATTAACACAGAACATCACAAAATAAGCAAGATGGAAACACTAAGAGCCCTGGGAGGACCTCAGAGACTAACAGGGCACTTCAGATGTCATGTGACTCAAGTCAGAGGTGAAAGGCTGATCTATTCTATACTATTACCAGTGTTTCCCAACCCGGTCCTCGAGGACCCACAGACCGTCCGCGTTTTCGCTCCCTCCCAGCTCTCTGCCAGACAGTCCACAGTCTACTGTGAGCTGGGAGAGAGAAAAACATGGACGGTCTGTGGGTTCCCAAGGACCGGATTGGGAGACACTGCTATCATTCTTCAGAGGTGTTGTTGTGGGGGAGGGGGGATGAAGTCCTCACTGGGGCTGCATGGGAGGGGTCCCCATCCAGCCCTCGGGGCTCTGGTGAGTCTGAAGTAGGTGGTAGAGCTGCTTCAGGTGAGCTACGATGTTATCCTTGATGTCAGGCACAGAGATCTGGAGCCTCACACTACTGCTGTCAAATGAGCGCGTGCCATCGCCCGTGAACATCTCCGTGATCATGCGTGCCACCACTGGGACCACCTGGAGGACCAGAAGATTCTCACGGTCAAGGCATCAGCAAATGCACCATCTGTTGAACAACGGCGTACACCAACGACGGCGTACACCGACGATGGGGAGGATGGTCAAAGCACACACACCTGCACCATGATGAGCTTCCTCTCCAAAGGTCTGCCATCTGGCCACTCCTCTCCGAAACAGAGCTGGATCTCGAACTGTGGGGGGCGCTCCGACTGCCCTTTCTGGTGGGTAATCACACCTACAGGCCAGCAGACACACCCACATAGTTCACATTACATTGTTAGTTGCCCCGCCCCTCAACCACAGAGTCAGGGCCCCTCACTCACCACTAAGAAAGGATTCCAGGGAGAAGAGTTTGACCCTCCTCTGGCGCTCGATCAGGTTGGAGGTGGTGGGGTTGGGCGCACACGGCCCGGACCAGTACACCTTGCACTGGCAGAGGCGCATGGCATAGATGTCGTGCCCGCTGACCTCCAGGATGAGACCGCGGTCCATGACGTCGAGCAGACGGTTGGTGAAGAGCCGCTGTTTGTCGTTGGCGATGTGCTCGGTGCTGGGGAAGCGCAGCTGCTCCAGGTTCACCGGGCCAAACAGCTCCTCCTGGTTCACCATGGGGCCCAGGTCCCCGTAGTAGAGCCGGCAGCCTTGGGGGTTACTGACCGTCATGGTTGGGCACACCTCCCTGCCTCGGTACTGGAACTGCACCTCCAGGTCTGTCACTGCAGCATAGATGGACACACACAATGTTAGAGGCTGTAACATTCATTCATTTGTTCGAATTACCAAACAAATGTTTGTTCGTTCATTCATTGTCAATTATGTTCCAACAGCAAACATGTCAATTCTGAGAACCCACCCCTAATACAGTCGATTACTCACTGGGCAGGGAGCTGATCCACATCTCTGGGGAAGTAAATAGAGACTCAGGCAAGGGTGGGACATGGACTTCCATGTCCACAGGCTCCTCTTTAGGAGGCCATGTTTCGGCCGGTGGGGGGCAGCTCGAGGATGACCAGGCAGGGGAGTGGTCAGCACCTGTGGACAAAAACACGCCTCAGCACACGCACCCCCATTCCCCGGAAGGCGGCCGCATACTGCAGACGAAACTGAGGGAATTAGCGTCGTTTTGGCAATACAACATGGTATGAGCGGTAATCACAGCGGTGAGCACCATTTCGGTTTTGTTTGTTGTGATCCCACCCACTGTCCACGATTCACCGACGCTGCAGGGTTGGTCAGCAGGATCAATCATGCAGTTGCCAGCAGCCTTTGCACCGTATTAAATTTTGCAAACTAGTATGTGCATTAGTGTCTTCCTGTTAATTGTATACGATGTAACTGTGTAATGATTGCAGTGGAATAATTTCATTAGTGTTTCGTTAGTGCATAACTGTGAGTGCCATTTAATTTGTTGGGTTCCCATCTGTGCAGCTGCTAGTATTAGACTTATAGTAGCTGTTAATGAAGAGAACAACTTCCATTTTAAAACAGCAGCCATCTCCTTAATTAAAATGAGTCATAAACTTGCAACAATATGTTTATTTGCACTCTGAATGTGGGTCTGTTGCAGTGAAAACATTCCACGCCCTCTATGGTTGTGGCACCACATAGTGGCCTCGATTTAAGTATGCGACTGTTTGTCCGCGCCAAATTGTTCGATTTCGTTTTGTCAGTTTTGTTTCGTTTTAAGTATATGGCCACCTATAACCTAGTGAGAGAGTACTACCATAAACTACATGCCTCGCTCTCTACAAGACGAGGCATGGATCTTCCCTTCAAATCACACCTTCCTGCCCCAGGCAATCGATGACCTAGGACGCACCAGTCTTTACAGTTTGTTCACATATGTGTGAATTTCCATTTTTACCTTCTGTTAAATTAACTTACAGGCTATGTGTTCAAATCCTGAATTAGCACATGGTTCATACAGTGCTGGCATAGTCTCATTGTAGATTAACTTTGTCATGGGCAACAGTTCCGCATATGACTTACAGGAAGCTGCATTTGCATATGGCAGACAAACAAACCCAAACAAGGCATCTAGACCTCCCCAGTTGGACACTGACTGGGGAAAACAGAGAGTGACAATCGAGTTACGCTCACCGTTGCTTGGGTACGGTGGAAGGGGTGAATCAGGAGTGTCGCCACAGTCATCATCATCGTCATCTGCCGGGGTCGAGCTTGTTGAGCCTGTGAATGCATCAAAAGTGAGTCTCGCTCCACTTGCCGAAATAACTTCAAAGTAAACCAAGGCTGAAGAGTAACCAGTTGAGAGGCATGTTGATCGATTAACGGGTCACTGAATTAACAGATGGTGAGAAACCTGGGTTGCTGATTGGCTGGGGGATGTCGCACACATTGTAGACCTTCAGTGGGTTCATGGGCACCTCCTTGGTGCCGTCGTACACCAGCTGGAACTCGCGGCTCTTGTTGAGGGCACAACGGAGCTGGGCCTTCCACTTAGCCGGGTCTGGCTCGTCCACACCTTCCCGGAACTTCCCCGTTTCCACAGCCCAGGCCTGCAACAGCAGCAGAGGGCGCTCAGGAAATATAAAAAAAACTTGGGAAGCAACTCCTCCCCCCACTGACTACATGAATTCCTGAAATCAATATGAGGGGCATTTACAAAATTCTGGGGGCACTTTTTAAAAAATTTTAGTTTATGCATAAGTTTCTGTTTTTAAATGTGAAATTAGCCCAGATTAAAACGCACACAGTCATCACCAACATCCTAACATGCATAAATAAAAAGCACACATTTCCAAAAAGCATGCTGTCCCAAAGAGAAGCGTGTAATATTCTATATGTGTATA